TGGATTGAGAAGGTGGAGGGAAGCAGGAGCTCATAATCTTCCTTCTAAAAAAATAACATTTTAATTTTAATAAATATCAGTTTAAACCAGAATAGTCCAAACTTCGCCAACAGCACCAAACCCATGACAGAGATAAAGCATATGTCATAAGTTCATAAAGTGATTCTTAAATCAAAAAATGGAAGATTCTGGCGTGCAGTAAAAAGTACTGATACCTAACCCCCCTTCCCCTGCCTTAAATCCAGAAGGAGAGGTGAGTCAGATTTCTGTTTATGATAATGTCAGGGTGAGTCATACGGGTCAACCCATTTGTTGAAAACATTAAAAACTGATGGTTAGACTTACAATTCAGACAATATGGCATCAACCCATTGTTCCCTTCTTCTCCCCTCTATTCACAACTATAAACCATGTAAATGGTGCAAGAGACAACCAAAGGAGAATTCTGGAAGGTGGTAAGAAGGTGAGCTGGTTTAGGACCCCAGGACTGGAGAAACAATACAGAGGCAGGGCATCTCGGTTCCCCACCCAACAGAGTAAGGACGCTCGGACTCACCATTTCCCAAATCATAACTGAGAACAGAAGGCAGCCAGGAAGGCTCATCTCTCTCCTGGATGGACAGGGAGCCCCTCTGACCATATCAGGTTAGTCCAACACCACCTGCAAGGGGAATGGAGTACAAATAAGTGTGCAGGAGGAACTTACCTTCCCCATCAGGCCTGAGACTATCCTCTCCTGCCCTGAGGCACTGGGGCAGGTGGACAGAATGGGAGGAAGGGACCCACGTATAGTGTCTGATATTCCTTCACATTTGACACATTTTCTCCTTTGTCAAATGTGAAGACTAGCCTCCTCACTTTCAGAGTTTTTGTTTTGCTTTGGTAAGGCTGCTATGAAGCACGCTATTTAAAGGAGCGGTACAGAGGCCAGTAAACAAAGAGCCTCAGTAAGAACATCCCCTTGTCCTGGCGCTTAGACAGGTGGGACAGAGACAGCGTCCCCAGGAGGGACGATGCTTGAGAGCGAACAGGGGAGGCGGAAGAAGGAACAGAGAGAAACAAGCACCACCCACACCTGACTGTCTACTCCTCCCCTGGCTCCATCCATCCCCACCTCTTTGTCCTCCTGGCCTCAAACTGGGACCCTAAGCCTCAGTTCAGGCCCTTCTGCTGAGCTGAGAGGTACCTGAGCTCCAATCATGACCCTATTTCGGCACCACGGACAACACCAGCTCCCCTGCCTAGGTCTCCCGAGGTGGATGGAGCCTTCTGGGGGTCCAATCATTTTACCAGCCCCCAGTGCAGAGTGGGAGGAGCCTGGGGAAGTGTCTGGTGACATCCTCTGTCAGTAATGCTGGTCAGGGTTGTCCGGGACCTTCCAGTGTGTTCCATCATCCTCAGACTTTTGTTCTTAGTCCCCTCAGGTGTTAAAGGGATTCCATGTTGTCTGTGGTGAGAATGGTTTATCCAGGAAAGTCCCCAGTAATTAGATGGAATAACGAAGCCAGTCTCGGGGCATCACTGATAAGAAAGGATTAATCAGTCAAAGACGGGGACCTTCCGGTATTTTACAGCTATCGCAAGACCTTGGGAGAAATAAACATTACGTTTAATTCTGGACCTGTCCCCCACCCACCCTGAGCCCCACCCATCCCTGCAGGACGGCTTTCTGTCTTTCTCTATGTGAGCTGATTTTCACTCTTTCACCCTGAGACAGGTTTTTCCTCTTTCTTTGTTTTCTCACATTTCCCTCGGAGCCTTCTGGTCTCTCACTAGGTGGTCTCAACCACTCCAGGGCTCCCACCCCAGCTCTGCCCAGACACTTCCTGCAGTTACTCACCCAGGCTGCCCTGAGCCCCAGACTCATGAAGCAGCAGGAAGTCTGGGTCCTGATAGGTCTGGAAACAGGATCTTCACCCCCTCCCCACATTCCCCTAAGTGTGCCCCTCTGTGGGTCCTCACCCTGCTCAGGAGTGCCCACTGGAGCTGGCTTCCTCCTCCCCTAGGGCCTCTCCACGATCTACCACATCAGGCAATCAGAGTCCTCCCCAGGTAACCCCTTATCTGAGTCCCCAGACACCAGAACATTGTTCACCAGCTGGTCACCCCCAGAGACAGCATTCTACAGGACTTTGAACTCACTCCTGTTTTTCCTGGCGGGTTTGGGGGCCTCTAGAAAATGAAGGATGAGAAAAACTTGAGCATGTTTCCCCCTCCAGACTGTGAAAGGTCTTGGAGATGGGAGCCCGAAAAATAGGGCCAGACATGAGAACACCAGGATCGGTGTCTCCCAGACTTGTCTCCCCACCCCCAACCCACCTCTGCACAGTAGGCAAGCACCTTGCTGAGTTGGCCCTGCCCCTACACAGAAAAACAAACAAACAAACTTGTTCATATCTCACTTCTAGGCTCCCAAACTGTTCCCTATAGTTGTGAGTGAGCAGATGCAGGGAGAGGAGAGACATATATATGTAATTTTCTTTACAAAATTAAAGCAATACTTTATGCAAGATTCTGCTACTTGTGTATTTACCTGTATGTAGATTTGGGAAGCCTGTCATTTGGCACATATCCATCACCTACTATGTAATTTATCATCACTGTGTGCAAAGCAAGTCTACAGCATTTGAGAGACACACATTCTTGCCTCCAAGGACCCACTTTCTATAGTGGGAACTTAAATACACAGTTAAGGAGACTCATGTTCTCACCTGCTCTCTGCCCACCTCCAATCTGTTCTCCACAGAGAAGCCAGATTTTAGAAACCCAATAGTGTCCCTTTTTCTACTTCTAACCCTCCAGTGCTCCCAATTGCCGAAATGGATGTAGCCAAAATCCTTTAAGATGAGCCTAAGGTGTTACATGGTCCATTTTATTTGGCCCAGGGGGACCTGTTTTTAATGCCTAGAACACTACAAACCAAAAACCAACACATGGACAGAAGGACACACAAGTTTGACCATTTCTGCTGTCAAAGAATAATTTTTTAAAAAGGTAACATCATGACTGTCATATAGATATAAAAGGAACATGTGTTAAAGATTTTTATTGTGGGAAAAAAACACGTAACATGAGATCTACCCTCTTTGCCGATAATTAAGTGTACAGTAGCATTAACTATAGGCACTATGTTATACAGCAGATCTCTAGAACTCTTTCCCCTTCCATGACTGAAATTTATACCAGTTGAACAGCAAACCCCATTCTATTTAACTCAGTAATGGGAGAACGAGGCAGAAATGGAAGAAGTGCATATTTGTATGGAGTAAAGGGATGTTGACATGAATTAATGAATGCATGTGAAACTGGCTTGGTGGGGAGATTCAAGTGGACCCCAATGGATAGAATGTGCATGTCTGTGGACATAAACTATTTGCATTGCTATGAATTATCTACAAATTACAGCACTGTAAAATAGTTCAAAGGCAGTGAAATGCTAGAATCAGATAGCTCAGAAAGGGTGTGCCCAAAAGAATGTACAGTTTTCCACAGGAGACAGCCAGTCATCTCATTTTGCTTATTCTAAATTTCCTTACAATTCTTAAAGCAAATATTTATTCATCACCTAATATATGCCAAGCATTTTTTCTAGACTGAGTGTATTCAGCAGTAAGCAGAAGGGATACAAGATCCTTTCTGAAGCTTCCATATCAATAGTGGGAGAGATAGGTAAAGAATAATTAAGTAGATTTTATATTATATTGACTGGTGATAAGAGGTTTGGAGAAAAAAGAAACAGGAAAGATATATAGGGAGTAGGGGATGGACTATACTCTTCAGTATGTTGTCCATGGACGTTATCATTGAGAAACTGACATTTGAGCATGCACACATATGCACACACACAATAAGGACTTATACAGACACACACACAGTTCAGACACGCACACAGATACCATAGACACACATATAGACCCACACACAGATACATACACACTTCAAATATACATACAGATACACACATCTCAGACACATACAGAAACCACAAGCATAGTCACACACGCACATATACACATACCAAAGAAACAGACACAGACACCACAGACACATATAGAGACTAGAGACACAAACACACATACATATATGCAGGCACACACACCACAGAAACACAAACACCACAGGCACACTCACACCACAGACACACAGAACAAATCATCAGCCATTGTCTCCCTGGGAAGACTGAGGCCCTGGTTCACAGGCCAGCTAGACCCAACGTCCCAGCAGGAGAGAAAGGTCAGAGATGCCCTGTGACTCTGGGCCACTTTCTGCAGTTTGGGTGACATTTTCATTCTCAGAATCCACAACCCTCCCCACTGACATCACCATCCACCTGTCCCTGCTGCCCACGGTCCAGCAAACCCTGCGGCCTCACCACCCTGGCTTCTGGCCCATGCCTAGAACAGCAGTTGTGTCCACACTCAGAGTCACCGCCAGGGAAAGGACAGGAAGGTGGGATCGTCCCTCATCCTTTAGAAAGGCTGAGACATGAAGCTGGGACAGGTGAGAAGGGAAATGGACTCACCTCAGAGGAGCGGGGAGTAACTAAGTGGGGTCAAAGGAGAGTGGGCTCTGGGGTCACAGCCAGTGTGGGGGGCCCGGGGGCTAAGTGGCTTCTGTCCCTGGAGCTTCCCCTTGGTCCTGCTGTGAGGATCCCATAAGGGTGTGAGTGGAGTTCATGGGGCATGCTTGGAGTCCTCAGAGTTGTCTGGAATGTTCTTCGTCCCAGCTTCGATGGGACATCCCTTTGGATACTCTAGCTCCTGCCCAAACCCTAGGCTCCTGGAGGAAGCTCCTGAGATGTCTTCCTGGAAAGCTGTATGTGGATGAAGGGAGCTGGACAGGAGGGAACCAGGGTCCCCGCATGGGACAGCAAAGAGCAATGTTAGCTGCAGAGCTCATCGGGTGGCTCAGTTACCCTCCCCCTCCCCAAAAGAGGAGGAGGAGCAGGAGATGCTTTGGAGGAGATCAGACTCAGATTTCCTTGGACCCTGGAGCTGAGAGGCTGAAGAGCTGACTGAGGCAAAGGCACTGGCCGGGGACTGCAGGTGGAGCTGCGGGGGCTCCCTGTCTGCTCACACCCGCGTCCTTGGCTCTGGTCGTGCTCTCTGGAGGATGAACTTACCTCCCAGACAACCTTGCTCACCTTCCACCTCCCAGCGCACCTGTCCCATCCTCCAGGCTCATCCTCATTCCCTTCTGGGGCTCCCACAGCCCTGTCCTCCCCACTAGTTCAGGCCTGACCACACCAGGCTGTGAGCGTGTCTCTGCTCCCCACTCCTGGCTCTGGCTGCTGCTCCTCCAGGGTCAGCCTCACCTCAGCCCCGCCCCCCAGGACACTACACTCAACAGATGGGTGACAGGTGCCCAGGGTGCAGGAGCAGTGACAGGCTCAGCCAGCAGAGGGACCAGCCCCAGCAGAGGCCCATGGAACCTGTCCTGTCCTGGGGAGAGGAGGGGAAGGGTGACCAGGGTAAAGTAAGTGCCCTACAGAGTTCAGAGCTGGTGCACAGAGGAGCAGCAGAGGTTTCCTCTGGTTACCAAACCTTTCCCTTCCCTTTTCTCCTCCCACCCCCAGAGCGGCCCCATCCTGCAGACTGGCCACTGGACACTGAGTGGCCTGTGTCCATTGTGGGCCAGACCAGGCTTTTTGAGAGCTCTTTACTTGCATGAACACGTTTATTTTTTGGTGACCCCGTGAATTAGTTTGCTTGGGATGACATAACAAGATACCACCTACTGGGTGACTTAAATCACAGAAATTTATTTTCTCACAATTCTGGAGGCTGGAAGCAGGAGATCAATGTGTTGGGAGGGCTGGTTCCTTCTGTGGCCTCTCTCCTTGGCTTGCAGATGGCTGCCTTCCCCTCCCCCCTCCATCTTCACTTGGTCTTCCCTCTGTGCACGTCTGTGTCCTGATCTCATCTTCTTATAAGGACACCAGTCCTATTAGATTAGTGCCCACCTTCATGACTTCAGTTAATTTAATTACCTCTTTGAAGGTCCTATCTCCAAAGACAGTCACATTTGGAGGTACTGGGGGTTAGGGCTTCAACATATGAGTTTTGGGGGTGACACAATTCAGCCTATAGCACCCCATGAGCATAGGCATCTGACTATGCACAGAGTGGTTAAGCCCCTTCCCAAGGTGGCACAGCAGGCATTAGGGAGCCCGACTTGACCCCAGTGCCACCTGGCTGCAGACCCCGAGCCCTGACCCCTCACTGGAGGCCTCAGGTGAGGGATCCCCAGGGCAATGCTGACCACCAGGAGCTTCTCGCTGAGGGCAGGACTCAGAATGACCACTGAGGATTGGGCAGAGCCAGGCCCTTGACCTGCAGGACTGCCCCCTTCCGTCCTCGTTTTGGATTCTCCCACAGATGAGGGCTGAGAATTGGGATCCCTCCACATGACAGATGAGGAAACTGAGGCGTGGAGGGGAGAAGGGCCAGACCCCTGACTCCTTGTCTGGGCTTTCTCACAACATCACACTATGCTGCCATCTTGCTCCAAATGCCCAGCTCTCAGGCCTGGCCTGTGCAGTCAGCAACAGGGATGCCTGGAGCAGGGGCTGTGAGCGGGTCAGGGAGCCCCAGGACCACCCGTGGTGGTGATGTCCTCTGACCTCCTCAGAATCCTGATCCCGTCCACTCTGCCATTTCTACCTGGGAGCTCTCCTTCTGGTTGCACAGAGCAATCGGTTTCCTACAAGCCCCTGCCTGTGCTTCCACCATCACACACTGTCCCAACACGAACTGGAAGGGTCTGGGGTTTCTCTGCCTCCTCAGGTGTTAGAGAAGCTCTCAAGGACACAGACACAGTCTGTCACATTGTCCCCTTTGACTACACTCCCCAGAAAGGATTAGATGCTCAAGATGCCATTGTCGTATTCATTCATTGATTAATCACCTCCTCCCTCTCCTGGGGGTGGGGAGAAACTTCCCCATCTTTCACAGATTGAAGTTCCCCTGCCAGCCCGTCCTGAGTCCCACTCCTGGTGTGACTGACACTTGGGGGCACCTAGAAGCTCTGATTGGCCAGGCAGTGCCTACTTTCCTGGCGTGAACAATGATGTGAGAGGGACAGGCCACATACAGGGAACAAGGAGCAGGGAGTTGGGTCCTCCTTGTTGTGTGTGACCCTCATCGGGACCCCATCTAGAAAGTAGAAGTGGTTAATCTCCAAGGACCACGCCAGCTCCAACAGCCTGTGGGTGTCAAGTTCCTCTTCTGTGGTCAGGCACCTTTCTGGCCTCACCCTGGGCTTCCTGCTGGGGCTTCCTCTCAGTCCTGTTACACCAAGGCCCTGTGGCTCTGACCCCAAAGATGCTGCCGCTGCTGCTGCTGTCCCTGCTGTGGGCAGGTGAGTGTGACCAGGAGACAGGGTGTGGGCAGGGTGGGGGCTGCAGCTGACCCGCATTTCCCTGCAGGGTCCCAGGCTCAGTATGGGAGATTCCAGCTGCAAGTGGAATCTGTGACAGTGCAGGAGGGCCTCTGCGTCCAAGTGCCCTGCAATGTCTCCTACCCTGCATATGGATACACTGACTCTGACCCAGCTCACGGCTACTGGTTCCGACAATGGGAATATCAGCTCCAGCGTACGCTTGTGGCCACAAACAACCCAGATCATGAAGTGCAGGAGGCGACCCAGGGCCGATTCCACCTCCTTGGAGACCCCCGGGTCTACGACTGCTCCCTGGACATCAGAGACGCCAGGAGGAAGGACTCGGGGACATACTTCTTTAGGATAGAGAGAGGGTTTTATGCGAAATATGATTACAGAGAGAACCCGCTCTCTATGCTTGTGACAGGTAAGGAATGGGGTCAAGGAGAGGACACATGGATGGGTTCTGAGGGCTGGGAGGGGATCCTCTGCACCTCATACTGGAATAACCAGGGGTGATCCAGGAAGACAGGATGCTGAGGACAGCTGGGGAGGAGATGGCTGGCCTGAGGCAGAGGTTGCTCTTAGGGTCACACTTGGGGTCCCCGTATCCAGGGCCTGTGTCTCTGTCTCTCTCCTCCTCAGCTCTGACACAGACACCTGATGTCCACTTCCAGGGGACTCTAGAATCTGGCCACCCCAAGAACATTACCTGTGCAGTGCCATGGGCCTGTGAGAGGGGGACGCCCCCCACCTTCTCCTGGATCGGGGTCTCCCTCACCTCCCTGGGCCCCAAGACTGCCCACTCCTCGGTGCTCACCCTCACCCCGCGGCCCCAGGACCATGGCACCAATCTCACCTGTCGAGTGACCTTCCCTGGAGTTGGCGTGAGCTCAGAGAGGACCATCCGGCTCAACGTGTCCTGTGAGTGCCAGGCCAGGATGGCCTAATCCCTGAAGGCAGTGGGTGTAGAGGAGGGGAAGGGGGGCAGGGCCTGGGATACTGGGTGCTGGGCCCTGCAAGCTGGTTCTGGGAGGAAGAAAAGAGGACACGAGACTCCACCCTCTCTTATTTCTAAAGTTTCTGGGGAGAAGGGCCAACACTCATCTTCCTGCCACTGAAAGGGGAACAATTATGTCTGTCTGTCCAGATGTGCCCCAGAACCTGACCATCAGCGTTTTCCGGAAAGAAGGCACAGGTAGGACGCAGCCTCTCCTCTCCCAGAGGTGTGGTGGAAGCGGGGTCTGTCTCCTCCCTTCAGAGGAGAGCTGGGGTTCAGAACTCAGAAGGGAGAAAGGCTCAGGCCAGGTGTGGGGACAGTAGTTGTGGGAAGTCCCCCACTGGATCATCAGCTTACAAGCTAGCCTTGCCCCACAGCTGAACCTGCCATCGGGGAGCATGAAGGGCCTCTTCCATGTCCAAAGGATGTGCTGTCTCCATGCCAGGGACACACCCTTGTCCCAAAACCTGTCCTCATTCTCACTAGGATTAGGACCCCTCCTACTCCTACAGCCTCCTTGTATCATTTTAATACTAGTGTTTAAAGTAGTAAACATAAAATGTGCCTTAGTCTGCTTGGGCTGCCATAACAAAATACCACAGACTGGGGGGCTTAAACAACAGGAATATATTTCTCACAGTTCTGGAGGCTGGAAGTCCAAGATCAGGGTGTAAGCCATCCAGTTCCTGGTGAGGGCTCTCTTCCTGCCTTGTAGACAGCCGCCTTCTGGCTGTGTCCTCACAGGACTGAGAAAAAGCCAGCCCTCTGGTGTCTCTTCTTATAAGAGCACCAATGTCATCATGATAGCCCCACTCTCATGACCTCATCTAAGCCTAATCACCTCCCAAGAGCCCATCCAGATACCTCCAAATACCACCACACTGGGGGTTAGGGCTTCAACATATGAATTTGGGAGAAACTCAATTCAGTCCCTAGCCAAATTTAATTAGAATAAAATAGTATTCAGCATCTTGTATGGTTACTTGTATGTAACCTCCCTCTTGGTTATCTTCCCAAATATTACCTATGGATATACATTTAAAAACACACATCTGTACACATCATACTATACACATTGCTCTGCATCTTTATTATTATTTTTTATTATCTTTTCACATGGAGTAATTTTTGATTTACATAGTGCAGAGAGTGTCCATAATCCATCACTCTTCTTGCCTCATCATTACAACCTTGCATCACCTTGGCACACTTGTCACAACCAAGGAAGTGACATTGGTACATTTCTATGAATGAAACTTGTCTTTTTCTCAAACAGTCTATCTTAGAGATCTTTCTGTATCAGTACATAGGAAACCTTCTTCATTCTTAATGATGACTCCGTGGTTTTCCAACTGGAAGTATATTGTACTATAAAGTAATTAATTGGTCCCCCATTGTTGGAAAACGACGCTGTTTCCAGGCTTCTCCTCAGACAAATAATACTGCACTGAAGAACTTGTGAGAACATTTCCCACGTGTGTGCGTGTGTCTTTCAGATAATTTCCTAGAGAAGAAGGTCCTGGATCAAAGGGTATGTTTGTAATTTCTACAGATGTGGCCAAATCCCACTGCATGGAGGTGGTTCTGTTTATACTCCCACCTGCAATGTGCCTCCTCCGCTGCTGAACATGTTCATCCCTGCTGATCTTAAGCGAATTCACTGTCATGTTAAGTTGCAGTGTCATTTTGTGACTAGGTTGAGTATCTTTCATTATGTTTGAGAATTGTTTGTTTTTCTTTGTGGATTTTTTCTTGACGGTTTGAAGAAGCTCTTTTCATATTAAGGACATCAGCTGTGTGTTAGTTGAAAGGATTGATTTCCAGTCTATTGATGGCCTTTTGACTTAGCATATGGTGATTTTTCCAGGCAAAAACATGCATTTTTCTTTTGAGTTCCTTTAGTGGTGTACTGGTGTTGGCTCTCACTGGTTGGCATGAGCCAATTGTGTCCATCTTTTCTCAACTCTGGGTTCATTGACTTCTTCAAATTGGGTGCTTGACGTTGGCCAAGATGGGAGTTGCCAGGGATATTGACAAATACTACAAGTCAGGGCTTTTTTCGTCTCCCCCAATGAGCTAGTCGTTAAACATTTACTAGTAAAACAATGGTTGAGTAAATCAATATTTTCTTTGATGCCTCTGACTTTCCTCACTCTGCTGTAGTGTTTTCAATCTTCCATAATTTCTTCCAGTAGCATCATATGTAAACACTCACAAACACGCCCATTCACTCAAACTTTACAGAACTATTTGTTTTTCCCTGAGCATGGAGGGTGATTTCACACCTCAGCTATAGTTGCACCTCTTTTACTTTCCTCACATAACATTCTTCCATTGGCACTACCCTCTAGCCAGCTCCCACCCATTCTCATGCTCTGATTAAGCCTCTCCTCCTCCGGGAAGCCCTCCCTGTCCTGACAGTCTCAATGCACTCCCGTCCTCAGGGCTCCCTCAGCCC